GGCACAGTAAGCTTATAAATATAGCAGTTCCTGGGACAATAGATGAACGAGCAATCAACACGAAAAGGGTACTTAACCCGTGGGAGAGAAATGAGAATCACACGCTTTGTCTCAACTCTGCGAAAGCTGTTGGCTGCAGTGTGGTTAATATTGGGACTCAGGACCTGGCTGAAGGACGAGTATGTTTTGCTTTGCTTAGTTTTCAGTAAAACATGATATATCACTCGAGACGAATATAGAAGATTCTGACCATGGAGGTTTTGTTCTTTTTGCAGCCTCATCTAGTGCTTGGATTGATCTCACAACTCATAAAGGTCTTATACTCTTACCTGCTATGTGCATCTCTCTTTGTTTTTGTGTTTGATGATTTTTACTAACTAATGTTGGAAGCTGCAGATTCAACTGCTCGCTGATCTTAGTTTAAAGAAGATGCCTCAGCTTGTTGAGTTGGTGGAGGACAACGACGTAATGATCAGCAAAATCTCATTGTGAATATCTGAACAACGTCTGTGCATGTGGTAAACAGTAATAACAAGTTTCCATCTTTTGCAGGATATCGAAGAATTTCTGAGATTACCCCCTGAGAAAGTCTTACTCAAATGGATGAACTTCCATCTCAAGAAAGGTGGTTACAAGAAAACTGTTGGAAACTTTTCTTCGGATTTGAAGGTATTTGGCTTGTCAAGAAGTAATTCTTGGAACTTCTCCTTTTTGTCTATTCAATAGACTTTATTCAAGAGTTCTGTTGATCTGCCAAGTGTTTGTAATACACTACCATTTTCTCGAATATCAGTTTGAATAAGAAAAAGAAAAGCCTCACCCATAAGTTATGACTCAATCTTAATGGTTGAGATTGTTAATTACGCAGGATGCACAAGCTTATGCTTATCTACTTAATGTTCTCGCACCTGAGCACTGCGACCCAGCTACACTAAACGCCAAGGATGATCTTGAAAGGGCTAACATGGTCCTTGAACACGCAGAGAGAATGAACTGCAAACGATATTTGACTGCAGAAGAGATAGTTGAGGGGTCTTTGTATTTGAATCTCGCATTTGTGGCGCAGATATTTCATGAGAGGTCGGTAAAAGGTCATGCATAGAATACAGTTGTTTAGTTCTTAACACTGGTTTTTACATTAGCTTACCTGTACCTGCTGCAGGAATGGCCTAAGCACCGATGGCAAGTTCTCTTTTGCTGAGATGATGACTGAAGATCTACAGAGTTGCAGAGATGAACGATGTTACCGGCTATGGATTAACAGCCTAGGGATTGAAAGTTACGTCAATAATGTGTTTGAAGATGTTAGAAACGGGTAAAACTCTTTGTTTTCTTTAAGAAATAAAGAGAGTGATGTGATGGTTTAGGAAATAATCATGAATAGATCTTTATACTTTAATTTTTTATGTAGATGGATTCTTCTGGAAGTTGTCGACAAGATCTATCCAGGCTCAGTTAACTGGAAGCATGCTTCAAGACCACCGATTAAAATGCCTTTCAGAAAAGTAGAGAATTGCAATCAAGTTGTGAAGATTGGGAAAGAGATGAGATTCTCGCTTGTAAATGTAGCTGGAAATGACATAGTTCAAGGGAATAAGAAGCTTATTCTCGGTAATTACCCGTGTAGCTGGTTAGAATTTGTTTTGTCTAGAGAAAGATGCTCTATAAGCCTTAAAAAGTTTACAACATTTGATGTGTGTATATATGTCTCAGGTTTCTTATGGCAGTTGATGAGAACCCATATGCTCCAACTTCTCAAGAATCTTCGAACTCGGACGCGAGGAAAAGACATGACTGACACTGAAATCCTGAGCTGGGCAAACAGGAAAGTCAGGATCATGGGACGGAAATCGCAGATCGAAAGCTTCAAGGTTCCATCTTTTACTTTCATCAAAACTAACAAAAAATTCCACTGAACAAGCTTTATGTTGAATCAAAACTCTTTTGATAAACTTCAATAGGATAAGAGTCTATCGAGCGGGTTATTCTTCCTCGATCTTCTATGGGCGGTTGAGCCAAGAGTTGTTAACTGGAACCTTGTCACCAAGGGTGAATCAGGTCCATTACTCTCTCTCTCTACCTAGACTTACCTCTTCACTCACTCTGTTCAAATTGCAATTTGCTTATATAGTTCTTTGTGGCTATGGAAACTTTTACAGATGATGAGAAGAGATTGAATGCTACATACATTGTCAGCGTAGCAAGAAAGCTGGGTTGCTCGGTTTTCTTGTTACCCGAAGACATCGTTGAGGTAAAGAAACAGATAGAAATCTGATGAAATAGCTGACTTGACACAGCATAACATCAAAAATGTAAAATCCGATTAGGTTACTGATGTTTTAATCTTATGGGGGATTCGATGTCGCAATGCAGGTGAATCAAAAGATGATATTGATCTTAACGGCAAGTATAATGTATTGGAGTCTTCAGAAACAATCATCATCGTCAGATAGTTCGAGTTCAAGTTCAAGTTCGGATTCTTCATCGACTCATAGCACAACCACGACGTGCACAAGCACTGATGCTTCACCGGCTCCATCTGTCACCGGAGAAGACGAAGTCTCCTCCTTAAACGGTGAAGTCTCGAGCCTAACCATCGAAGAAGACAATGACGCAGACATTTTGTCTGATATCACCTCCGTCTCAGAGGAAGCAGCCATTGAACAAAGCGACATGACTGGGTCTCTTGCCGGAACAGAGTAGTTTTTTTACACATCTTCTCTGTTTGTGTTAATATAAAATAAAATTATATTTTATATTTGTTACCACTGAAAAAGGAAAACATTTTGTGAAATATATTTAAGAAAGAAAATGTCATTTTATTTTATAATTGCTTAAGAGAAAATATCATTTGAAAAATTTTATTATTTGCGACGCTAAGCACATTTACCCTTTTTGGTTTTTTGTGGGTACATCAACACAAATTTCCTATATGTCTAGGAGAGTGACCATATCATATTACATTTTCTTATCAGAAACCAAATAACCATGGCTGAACCAAAAAAAACAAAGAGATAACCGTATGATTGATTAATTAGAGGAAACACATATTATTCTGAGGTCTCATTCGTAATTGTAAAAATTAGAGGAAACACATATAAAAATTTGCCTCGTTTTTAAAAAAAAAGGTTCACACGTGCGGGAATGTGTCTATAATATAGTACATGCAAAATTTATAAGTCGTCTCTTGTCAGTATTTTCGAGCCTGTGACTGGGCCTTTCGTTTCTCGTCTGCGTCGGTTCTAGAGATACACAGAGAGGAGTTTCGAAGG